AGGAGCGACGCGGGGCCGCGCGGAGGAAGCCTGCTCGGCCCCGGGGACCCGCCTCCCGGGTGGCGCAGCCGGAAGCAGGGGCTCTATCAGCAGCGACCGTTCCCTCACGGCGCAAGCTGCGCCCGGGCCGCTTCGCCAACCGCCGCGGCGTTCGCTGAATCCGCCCAGCGCGCCCTCGCCTCCCCGCCTTTCCCGCAGGCTCCGCCCCCCGCTCCCCTCGCCCAGCAACCGCGGCGGCAGCCGGGAGCGCGCCGCCCAATCGCCGCGACGCCTGGCGAGGGGGCGGGGCGTGCCGGAGCCCGCGAGCACCCGACGGCCCCCGCGGGAGGCGGGGAGAAGGGCGGTGCCGGCTCGGCCCCGCCCCTTGGGCCCGCCTGGAGCCACGGCTTCTGATTGGGCCTTTGTGTGTATTGCTCTCCTCTGAGAAGATTAAGGATTCATTTGTTAACGACCCGGCGCCTAATTGGGCCCCCGGGTGTAGCTCCTCCCACGGGGTGGGGCTCCACCTTGCTGCTCAACGCCGTTAATTAAGTAACTGCGCTTGAAAAGCTGTTTTTACTACTACAGACTGGGTTCTGTCGGAGCAGAAAATATGGTGCGAGTGTCGCGGAGAAAGGGGTGGAGGTAGCTGGCGCAGACGAGGAAAGAATCGGAGACTTACTGTGTGAGAGATAACCTGGAGGCCTGGAGGCATTCATCTCCTTGATGAATGAATGAATGTGTGAGGAATACGGAGGAAAGGTTCGCTTACAAGTTGAAAATTTTTTAAGAATTTCCCCAATGAACAGAGGCAGGTTCTGAATTCACTATGTAGCTCAGGCTGGCCTCAAAATTACTTTTTAAATTATTTTTTCTCCTAAGGGGATCGAACTCAAGAGGTGCTGAACTACATCTCCAAGCTCTTTAAAAAAGGATTAAAAAAAAAAAAAAAGTCTCTAATTTGCCCACGCTGGCCTCAAACCTGCCGTCCTGCCTTAGCCTCCCCAGAACCTAGGTTACATCGAGCGCTGCGTAGCTCAGCTGAAATAAATTATTGAAGGAAGTCTTTTCTTTTTAATTGGGAAAAGTAGTTGATTGTTCCAAGGAATGAGTCTATAAAGGTCTGCAGCTGAAGCCAGGCGTGGTGCGGCGGCACAAGCCCGAATAGTGCCAGCACTCTGGAGGCTAAAGCAGAAAGATCTTTGCCAGGTTGAGGCTAGCTTGGGCTACATAGTGAGTTCGAGGCCAGCCTGAACTACGCAGGGAGACCCTTGTCTCAACAAGAAGCGCCGGGGATATAGCTCAGAGGCACAAGTACCTGCCTGGCAAGCACAAGGTCCTGAGTTTGATTTCTAGTACAAAAAAAAAAAGCCAAAAGTGGTGGCACGCACCTGTAATACCAACTTCTGGGAGGCTGAGGCAGGAGATAGCTGTGAGTTCATGGCCAGCCTGCACCACATGAGACCCTGTCTCAAAAAAAGAAAAAAACCAAGCAAACAAAAAAGAAATAAAAATAAACCTATTGTGGTGGCACTCACCTGAAATCCCAGCACTCTGGGGAGGCAGAGGATTGAAAACTCAAACCCAGCCCAGGTCAGTTAGCAATGTAGCAAGACCTTGTCACACAGTTAAAAGAAAAAAATAAAGGGGCCTGGAATATGGCTCAGTGGCATAAGGGCCTGCCTGTAAAGTGCAAGGTCCTGAGTTTGATTCCCGGTACCCCAAAAAAGAAAAAAAAAAAAAATGTAAAAAGCAGGGTTAGGGATGTTGCTCACTGCAAAGGTCATTGGTTTGGGGCTGGGGATTTAGCTCAGTGGCACAGTGCCTGCTTAGCAAGCGCTAGGTCGCGAGTTCAGTTCCTGGTACTGGAAAGAAAAAAAAAGTCCTTAGTTTAGCTTCCATGATTGAAAATAAATGGAGCCAGGTGTGGTGGCGCACGCTTGTAATCCCAGCACTTGGGAGGCTGAGGCAAGAGAAGAGGATCATTGCGAGTTTGAGATCAGCCTGGGCTATAAAGTGAGCTCAAGGCTATCCTCAACTGCATAAGGAGACCCTGTCTCAAAAAAGAAAAAAAAAATGGAGGGAGAGTGAGAGAGGAATGAATCTCAATACCGATGCTCTAATAATTGCTAAATTCGGTGTTCTTTTCCATTGCCTCCCTCCCTTTACACTGATAACAGAAATTACACACATTTTCAATCCAAAACTGGCCGAGCTTTACGGGCGCTGGAAGAATATAAACGGGATTTACACATGACTAAGAAAGCCATGTGCCATTGTTTTAATTACATGCGAGGTGGTAGCAGACCTTAAAAGGCGATGGAGAGTTCTCAAAGGCCTCCTAAAACTGAGATAATCGTGGAAGAATAAATTCAGTGACACCCGGGGAGGGCCAATGCCAAGCAGTCCCTTCCTCGAGATCTTACCTTTCTTCCCCTACCAGCCTCTCTCCCTAGCAAATCCTTCAATCCTGTCTCATAGGCTCCAAGTGTGTGGTTCTGAGAGGGCATGGTGAAAACTGGCTGGGGAAGCAGATGTGGCCTGTTAACTACAAGATCCCAGACGCACGTGCTGAGCAGTTCCCAAAACCCCAAGCAGGTTCTCAAGCATGGCCTGGAACTGACGCGGCCTGAGGTGAGATTCCAGCATGACCTCTCAGAAGGGACCCAGATGTCAAATTCTCATGGGTTTCCTCGAGATTGAGACAATAAAACGGACACACCAAAGGCATGAAGAGCTTGCTAGTGCACCTTTTCATGATAGCCCATGCTGTGATTTCCGGCCGCAGGGTATACTTTTATCTTTGCTCTCACCCTCTTTTTCTGTGTACATGATCCAAGCTTGCACTACAGACCCAGTTTCTCCCCACTCTTTTTTTTCTTGAAAAAACTTTTCCATTGCTTGTTTTGTTCAATTCTTTGCCTGAGAGGAGAAGAACCTGGAGTCCAACTCCAGAATAATAGGCAGAGGCGAGCAACCCAGAACCCTACAACATTTAATTGGTCAGCCACTTTTAGAAGCATGCTCCTGGGTAACAGTTCTGCTACTTCATGCTATTCAATGGCTGTTTATTTTCCATAGTACAATTGACCCTTGTGAACATATGGGTTTTGAATTTATGTATTTGACCAACCTCCTATGAACATTCAGGATAGAGGGAAAAAAATTATATATATATTCTGAACACAGACTTCATTGTCATTAGTTCCTAAATAATACAGTGTAACAACTCCATAGCATTTATATAGCAGGGCATGGTGGCACACGCTGAAATCTCAGCACTTGGGAGGCTGAGGCAGAAGGGTTATCAGAGATTCAAGGCCAGCTTGGACTACTACTACAGTGAGACTTTGTCTCAAAAAAAAAAAAGTGTAATCATCTAGAGATGGTTAAAGAATTTAAAGCATGAGAGGGCTGGGGATTTAGCTTAGTGGTACAGAGCCTGCCTGGCAAGCACAAGGTTGTGAGTTTGATTCCTGGTACCAGAAAAAACAAACAAACAAAAAAAAGAATTTGAAGCATGAATGTCCAACCTTTTGGCTGGTGTGGGCTGTACTGGGTGAAAAGGAATTACCTAGGACTGCATTATAAAATCTATAACATAATGTATGTAAGTAATACAACTTCCTTTTTAATTTTTTATAACACCAAAAAAGATGGCAACAAAAGCAGAAAACTTGTAGGATATTTGATCCTGTTTTGTGAAACTAACATATCAAAGTCTGGTTCAGTGGAAGTAGTGGTTCTAATTCTTAGTAGCCAAGGTACGTGTCAGAAATTGTTTATCTAACCTCACTCTGTGTGCTCAGCCCTTGACAATAATTATTCACAAATACATGTACTGTCAAAAAGCAAAGACCAAAGTCGGGCGTGGTGGTGCACACCTGTAATCCCAGCACTCGGGAGGCTGAGGCAGGAGGATTGTTGCGAGTTCGAGACCAGCCTGGGCTACAAAGTGAGCTCAAGGCCAGCCTGAACTGCATAACGAGACCCTGTCTCAAAAAGAAAAAAAAAAAAAAAAAAAAAAGTAAAGACAAGAGTAGGGTGTGATTGTGAAGCAAGGGATATTCTTCTTTGGGAAGACAGGTATTTAAAAGTCCACAAAAGGACATGATCACATTTTTCTTTAAATTGAGGGTCTGATTGCAACTGTACATGTTCCATTTGAAATTTTGCAGGAGACATATTTGTGCCAACTGAAAGTGGACTTGAAAATATATGGAAAAAATAAAAAAAGAAAAGGAAAATATATGGAAAAATTTATGATTTTTTTCAGAAATCTTGAAAACTAATTCTCAAATTCCTGAACCAAAATGGAAAGCAGATTCTGAGCATGGTGGCGCATGCCTGTAATCCCAATACTCAGGAGGCTGAGGCAGGAGGATCATTTCGAGTTTGAGACCAGCCTGGGCTATGAAGTGAGACTGAGTCCAACCTGAACTGCATAGTGAGACCCTGTCTCAAAAAGACCAAAAAAAGACTACATTTTGCCAACATATCAAAATGTATTAAATTATTTGCTGAAACTTGAGCTTGGGATAATATAACTTTTATTTTGAATGCTGTTATGTTTTGAAATATAACATGTTGGTATTCACTGTAGTGACAGGCCCTGAGAATGAGGTGCCCATGGATGAAAAAAGGAAAATAGAAGAGACAAGAAAAACAAGAGACCTAGAAGTCTGGGATCAGAGGACTTACAGTCTCTTGGACTGCAACGTGGATCACTCATCTCAATTGCCTTTTATTAGAACCAAGAGCGTAACTAAGACCAACAAGAGAAATTCATTATCCCTTTCCATTTCTGCCTCTCAGCTGATGGTAATAATCCTCAGGCGAAACTCCCGCACCCAGCACCATGTGCAGTCAGTTCAGCTGGTGATCATAAGTTGACCATCAGTAATCAATCCATTAGTAATCATAGTCCTTTCCCCACAATAACACAGATAAATTAATTTTCACCTTTTGTTTGAAACAGGGTATCACTATGATCACTATGCAGTTCAAACTGCTCTTGAGCTCACTTTGTAGCCCAGGTTGGTCTTGAACTCGAAACAATCCTCCTGCTTCAGCCTCCTGCGTGCTGGGATTACAGGTGTACACCACCATACCCTGCTTAATTTTCACCTTGAAAATTCACATTTCTCTCATTTAAATGAATGGTCAATCCCCCCTAAGGCTAAATCTGTGAGGTATTTTTCACTCCAGTTCTGGCAAGAATTTTCCTTTTGATTCCATAAATGAACTGATTTAATTTGTAGCTCAAAGTATGTTTTCTGTGGGTACCAGGAATTGAACTCAGGATCTTGCATTTGCCAGGCAGGCACTGCACTGCTGAGCTATATCCCTGGCCTCTGATTTAATTTGTAAATCAAAATATTTTCAACATTTTCCTCCAACTTACCAACCTTAAATCAGAAAAGGAAATGTGTCTACACAATCTATATCCATACTTTTAAGGAAATCACAGAACCGGTAAGAAACTCACAGCTTTATGATTTGTATGACATTTCTATTTAGAAGTTTTGCAGATAAATTTTCTTGATGTATGATTCAGTGATGTGCCATTAAACGTGAATTGCCAGCAGAAGTTCTATCTTCTTCCATTTTAAAATATTTATTTATTTGAGACAGGGTCTTGCTATGTAGCGCAGGCTGGCCTTGAACTCATTGTGTAGCCCAGGCTGGCCTCAGATTCAGTGATTTTCCTGCCCCAGCCTCCCAAGTGCTAGGATAACAGGTGTGCACCACACTTGGCTTATTCTATTAATTTTATAGTCCCTCTGTTATGGTTTATGTCTAGATGTCTCACCAAAGCCTCATGCAGTCATACAGCTTTTTCAGCGGTGGCTGAATCTAGCGTGTGTTGCTGGGATTAAGGGTATGTATAGTAAATCAGCCCACTGATTGATTTGACATAGTTCTGGCTAGGATTAAGGGTGTGAGAGGCCTGTATACAATGTAAGGGACAGAAGCAGTTTTGTCTTCCTTGCTTGCTTTTGCTGTCTTCTGCTACCATGAACTCTTGCCCCTATGCTGTGTGCCACCCTGCCTTGGAACCAGCCAGCTATGGACTGAAACCTCCACTAACTGTGAGGTACATAAACCTTTCCTCCCTCAACTTTGGGCCTCGCATATTTTGTCTCAGCAATGAGAGAAAAGTAACTAAGACACCCTCTTATTTTTAACCAACCATTGCTGAGATGCCATTGGTAGTTATACCACATATGTTGACAAGGTTGAAGAAAATCACTTATATTTTAATTTAATTTAATTTTATTGTCTTTTTGAGACAGGATTTCACTGTGTAGTTCAGTTTGGCCGTAAACACACTGTGTAGCCCAGGTTGTTCTTGAATTGGCAGCGATCTTCCTGCCTCAGCCTTCTGAGTGCTGGAACTATAAGTGTGTGCCACCATGCCCAATGAATGGTTGTGTCATTTCTTTTTTTTCTGGTACCGGGAATCAAACTCACGACCTCATGTTTGCCAGGCAGGTGCTGTGCCCCTGAGCTGAATCCCCAGCCCCCAGTTGTACCATTTAATCACATCAAAGAAGCCATGTCTTCAGTGATATTTTATTTGTTTTTAATATCACTAATAAAAATGGCAAGTTGAAGCCGGGTGTGGTAATGTGGTGAACACATCATCGGTAAACACATAAAATGGCTGAAAAACTACTGGGCTATTGGGTGGAGGAAAAAAAAGTCAGTTTGACCCAAGAAAGAGAAACTGCTTGATTGTTTATTGTGCTTGATTGTTCTTTTTAGTTTGAGAAAAAATATATGCTTCTGAGGACGTTCTGATTTTTGCAACACCTGCTTGCTGAAACCGATAGGTTCTACTTTCTGCCCTTGCAAAAAACTTCTTCACCTGCGCCAACCAGGATGTGGTCTTCAAGCTTAAAAGCTCAAACATTCTTTGGGTCGGGGCTGCTCAGCATCTCCCTGTGTGGAGAACAGACTGACAGCAATCAGCCTGGCTAATAAAGGCTCTTAAATTTGAATTTGGATCCTGGTCTCGGTTCTTTATTCAGAGTAACCCATTACAATTTGGGGGCTCGTCCGGGATATCATTTTACTAGGACGAAAGAGCCAAGACTTATCTGTGCCTATACTCTTCAGGGGACCAACTGAGAGACGTTCCTCAGCCCCGAGGAGATTTTTATTGGCCTCAGAAATCTAAAACCGTGGACTATTTGGAGAGAGAGCCGCCCGGATTCTTACTGGTAAGACTGTTCGGGTTCAGTTTGGAGCGCCCCTTGTGAGTCTTTGGAGGAGTTGGATGCAACGTGATTCCCAAGACTCGACTCCAGACCATGACGGTGGCTGGTAGTCTCTGGTATCTCAGTTCTCATTTGTTTTGGTTTGGTTTGTTCAGTTCAGTTCAGTTCAGTTGTTTCATTTGTTTTGTGTTTGTCTTTATCTTTGTCAGTATGGGTCAGTCTGCTTCTGCTTCTGTGTCTTTGTCGCCTCTACAATGTGTTTTTCTTTTTTTTTTTTTTTTTTTTTGGTACCAGGAATTGAACTCATGACCTCGCACTTGCCAGGCAGGTGCTGTACTGCTGAGCTAAATCCCCAGCCCCAAAACTAGTATTCTTTTTTTTTGTTTTTTTTTTCCTGTACCGGGAATCAAACTCACAACCTTGTGCTTACCAGGCAGGCACTGTGCTGCTGAGCTAAATCCCCAGCCTTACAATGTGTTATAAATTATTTTCAGGACTGTAGACAACAAGCCTCAGGATATGGGGACCTCATGTCCCCCAGGAAGCCCCAAACCTTCTGTGAATTGGACTGGCCTCCTTTCCTGAGGTCACTTGGCCTCCAGAAGGCTCTTTTAACCTTTCTCTTGTTTACCAGGTCTGGGGAGTTATCTTTGGAAATCCAGGACACCCGGACCAGATTCCTTTCATTCAGGCTTGGATTGGTCTGATCCACGACCCTCTGAAATGGCTAAAGGCCTGCCGTTCTGGATGCCATTCGTGGTCAGCTGGTCAAACCCCCATGGTTGCGCTGGCTACCCCAGCCAACAAGAAGCGTCCTCAGACCTGACCAGACAAGAATGTGTTTTCCCTCTGACTCGACCTGCTTGGGACCCCAACTCCAGTGCAGGTAAGGAGGCTCTCGATTGGTATCGCCAGCTTCTATTTACAGCCATGAGGGCAGCAGCCAGGAAGCGTACCAATTTGTCTAAGGTAACAGAGGTAAGCCAGAGACCAGAGGAGTCTCCCACCACCTTCCTAGAATGCCTTCAAGAGGCTTATAGGATTTATACACCCATTGACGCAAAGGCGCCTGAAAATAGACAAGCTATAAATATTTTTGTTTTGTTTTGTTTTGTTATTTTTGTTTCTCATTTTTCTTCTGGTACCAGGAATCAAACTCACAACCTTGCGCTTGCCAGGCAGGCGCTGTGCCACTGAGCTAAATCCCCAGCCCCGACAAGCTATAAATATTGCCTTCGTGTCTCAGTTGACCCCAGATATTAGAAAGAAACTCCAAAGGATGGAAGGATTTGAGGAAAAAGCATTAACAGAGTTGGTAGAAATAACACAAAAGGTATTTAACAATAGGGAAGATCTGAGAGAACTGAATAAACGTATGGCCAAGGTCCTCATAGCTATGGGAGAAAATGATCGACTACTAAAAAGACCCTGGCCCCCTAGACTAAACAAAAGAGGTTAGTCCTTGACAAAAATCAGTGTGCCTATTGCAAAGAGGAAGGACATTGGAAAAATGAGTGCCCAAAGTGAAAACAAAAGAAAAATAAGAGCCAAGTTCTGACAGCTGCTTCTGAAATGGACTGAGGGAGTCGGGCTCTTCTCTTGGCCCTCAGGAGCCCAGAGTAACTCTACAAGTAGGGGGCCAGCCGGTCGATTTTCTAATCGACACAGGGGCCGCCTATTCGGTTTTACAGCAAGCTGTGGGACCCCTTTCAGAAGCAAAAACCCGCATTCAGGGTGCCACAGGAAAGACAAAGCTATATCCCTGGACTCGGGCCAAAATCGGGAATCTGGGAACAAAACAAATGACCCATTCTTTTCTTGTCATGCCTGAATGTCCTTACCCCCTGATTAGCCAAGACCTGCTCCACAAGTTGCAGGTCCAAATTTCTTTCGGGGAAGACTCTTCTCAAGTGACTTTTGTTGCAAAACCAGAACTCAACCCCCAGCCCCCTGCTATTCTGTTTACCTGCCCCATCACTGAGGCACATCTGCTCCTTGTAGAAGAGGATGATTTCCCAGGGAGCTCAGGGGAACTCCTATCTAGATGGACTTTAAAAATCCCAGGAGTTTGGGTGGAAAAAAAAAAAAAAAAAAACCCTGCAGCTTGCTATCTATTAAACCACAATTGTGGTTTCTCTGCTCCTGGGAGCATCTCCTGTTCACATTCGACAATATCCCCTGAGGCTTCAGGGTCCTATGGGCATCAGCGTCCACATCCAGAGGCTCAAGGAAGCAGGGATCCTGGTTCCCTGTAAGTCGGCTTGGAGTCGCCCCTACTCCCAGTACAGAAGCCTGGGACCTCCGACTACAGGCCTGTTCAGGATCTACGTGAGGGAAATCACAGAGTGGAGACACTCCACCCCACCGTACCCAATCCCTACACCCTTCTGAGCCTACTCCCTCCTAGCCGAGTGTTCTACACCATCCTCAACCTCAAGGATGCTTTCTTCACCTTATCTCTGGCTCCGGTAAGTCAGCCCCTCTTTGCCTTTGAGTGGACAGATCCCCAGACTGGGGAAAGCAGACAATTGACTTGGACCCGCTTGCCTCAGAGGTTTCATAGGGCTATTTACCAGGAAAGAGGACTATTAACTACGGGAGGACATAAAATTAAAAACACCCAAGAAATTCTGGACTTGCTGGCAGCTGTATGGCTACCTCAAAAGGTTGCAGTAATACATTACAGAGGATATCAAAAAAAAAAAAAAAAAAAAACAACTCTCCAATCGCCCGGGGAAATTCCCTGGCTGATGTTACAGCTCAAGAGATGACACAAAAACCAGTGGGGGAACACTGGGAAATTAATTTTACAGAGACGACTCCTGCAAAAGACAACTACAAGTATCTCCTGGTGTTAGTAGATACATTCACAGGGTGGCCTGAGGCTTATGCCACCTGGTCTAAATCGGCCACTATAGTTACCAAAAAGCTCCTTACAGAGATAGTTCCCCGACTCGGCCTGCCCATTACTCTGGGGTCCAACAATGACCCTGCTTTTATAGCCCAGATTACCCAAAAAGTGACACAAGTCTTAAACATAAACTGAATGCTCCACTGCGCCTATAGGCCGTTGAGTTCAGGACAGGTAGAAAAGATAAACAGGACAATTAAAAAAACTATTACAAAGTTAGGGTTGGAAGCTGGAGAAAACTGGTTGAGTCTCCTTCCCTTTGCCCTTTTGAGGGCACGATGTACTCCCTATGTAAAAAAAATTACTCCTTTTGAGGCCATGTATGGGTGTGCCCCTCCACTCCTCCCGAAGTTGGAAAAAAGATTCTTGCTTCAGTGACTAACCAGAAACTTATCAGATCCTTACAGGCCCTCCAGTCTATGCACCAAGCCACACACCACCTCTTCAGACAACACCAACCCGTCTCTGATGGGTCTAACAGTCCTCCTGGAGCGGCACCCGGCTCTCTGGTGTGGGTCAAAAAAAAACACCGCAATGTTGGGACCCCGCTGGATTGGACCTGACGCTGTGTCATAAATTGTTTAAATAAGGATGTTCAACAAAGGATGCAAGCCATCAAATTAATGGTACTCAGAGCTCAATATCCGCCATCAGAGGTAACTGAGGAAACAACGATTTGATTCCCCCAGAAAACCAGTGGGGAATGCGGTGAACACATAAAACGGATGAAAAATTACTGGGCTATTGGGTGGAGGAAAAAAAAAAGTCAGTTTGACCCAAGAAAGAGAAACTGTGCTTGATTGTTCTTTTTAGTTTGAGAAAAAACATATGCTTCTGAGGACGTTCTGATTTTTGCAACACCTGCTTGCTGAAACCGATAGGTTCCACTTTCTACCCTTGCAAAAAACTTCTTTACCTGCGCCAACCAGGATGTGGTCTTCAAGCTTAAAAGCTCAAACATTCTTTGGGTCGGGGCTGCTCAGCATCTCCCTGCATGGAGAACAGACTGACACCCATCAGCCCGGCTAATAAAGGCTCTTAAATTCAAATTTGGATTCTGGTCTCGGTTCTTTATTCAGAGTAACCCATTACAGTAATGCACACCTGTAATCCCAGCACTCAGGAGACTGAGGCAGGAGGATTATTGTGAGTTCTAGACCAGCCTGGGCTACAAAGTGAGCTCAAGGCCAGCCTGAACTGCATAGCGAGACCCTGCCTCAAAAAAAAAAAAAAAAAAAAGACAAAAAAAAAAATGGCAAGTTGAGTCAGCCCTAGTGGCATACAACTGTATCCCAGGGAGGCTGAGGCAGGAAGATGTCTGCAAGTTTAAGGTCAGCCTGGCTGCATGGTGAGTTCAAGACCACCCTGAACTATATAGTAGACCCCCTCTCAAAACAAAACAACAAAAAGATGAGTTGAGCCATATCTGTAGCATCAGTATTTCATGTATTTCACAAAGCAAAAATTTTTAAGTTAACAGTTTTAGCTTCCAAATCTCTTTCCATAGATTTTCTATTTCTTTAGTTTGCCCAACTAGTTCAGTAAGAAAAAATGATTTGGGAGGGCATGGTGGTACATGCCTATAATCCCAGCACAGGAGGCTGAGATAGGAGGATTGCCATGATTTTGAGGCCAGCCTAGTCTATGTAATGAGTTCAAGGACAGACTGAACTACCTATCCAGAGCCTGTCTCAAAAAAAAAAAAAAAAAAAACCAAACCCAAAAAAGCCTGTAATTGTAGTACTTATGAGGCTAAGTCAGGACAATTGCAGCAAGTTTGAGGCCAGAGTGGGCAGTTAGTTCAAGACCAACCTGAACTACACACTGTCTCAAAACAAAAAACAAGAAAAATAAAAAGCAAATGCACCCTCCCCCCAAAAATGATTTTAGAAAAATTGACTTTTTTCCCCCAGAGGAAGCCTGTCTTACTTTTCTCGTTGCTGAGATAAAAATACCTGACAAACCGGGTGTGGTGGCGCACATCTGTAATCCCAGCACTGGGGAGGCTGAGGCAGGAGGATCGCTGTGAGTTTGAGACCAGCCTGGGTTACAAAGTGAGCTCAAGACCAGCCTGAACTGCATAACAATACCCTGTCTCAAAAAGACCAAAAAAAGGGCTGGGGATTTAACTCAGTGGCACAGCGCCTGCCTGGCAAGCGCAAGGTCGTGAGTTCGACTCCTGGTACCGGAAAAAAGAAAACTAAAAAAAAAAAAAAACAGAAAACACCTGACATCCAAAGTTAAAGGAGGGAAGGTTTATTGTAGCTCACGGTTGGTAGAGGTTTCAGTCCATAGTCATCTGGCTCTAACGCAGGGTGGCATCATAGACAAGTATTGCAGAGAAACAGTCCAGAGTGGGCAGAAGGCAGCAAGCAGGAGGCAGAAGCATCTCCTTTTGGTCCCTTCCTGGCTACCTGCCTTTTGGGTAGTGCCTCCCATATCCAGAGTGACCCTTCTCATTGCCCCCACCCAGAACTATGCTCAACCAATCAGTGGACTAGAAATCATGCACTCGTAATCCCAGCATTGAATCATAGCATCACACACATCTAGCCACTGCTGAAAAGCCCCATGTATGAGTGCATGAGGCTTTAGGGGGACATCTAGGTAAAAGCCATAACAAGTCTCAAATAAAGAATTTCAGGATGCACCTCAAGATCCTAGAAAAATAGGCATGGTGGCACACACCTATAATTCCAGCACAGGGAAAGCTCAGGTAGTAGGATCTCTGTGAGTTCGAGGTCAGCCTGGGCTACGTGGAGAAACCCTCTCTCTCAAAACAACAACAACAACAACAATAAAAACCTGAAAATGTTATTAAAAAAAAAAACCCCAAATCCTACAGAAATAAAAACAATCCAAAAAAAAATCCAAAGTTAGTAAAAAGTTTGCCTACTCCTGGACAGGCAGAGCCAATATTGTCAAAATGGCCATACTTCCAGAACTAGTGTATAGATTTAATGCAGTCCCAATTAAAATACCAACATTTCACACAGAGCTAGAGAAAAGAAGGCTAATATTCATATGGAACCAGAAGAGACTCAGAATAGCAAAAGAAATCCTGGGTAACCAGAGCAAAGTAAGGGACAGGCCAAGAATTTTCTCAACAGAACCCCAGTGGCACAAGAAATAATGCCAACAGTCAACAAATGGGATTGGATCAAAATCTTCAGCACACCAAAGGCAACAGCCAACAGAATATAGAGACAACCTACAGAATAAGAAAAAAAATTGCCAGCTATTCCTAGGACAGAAGGCAAATATCTCGAGTGTATAAAGAACTCAAAAAAGATTCCCCAAAATTAAAGATCTAATCAAGAAATCAGCAGCTGGGGCTGGGGATATAGCTCAGTGGTACAAGCACCTGCCTGGCAAGTGTAAGGTCACGAGTTCGATCCCTGGTACCGCAAAAAAATAAATAAATAAATTAATTAAGAAATTAGCAGCTAGCAGGTGGGGAGCGCCAGCCTTCTGGCTGGCTAGCTTCCTGCCTGCTGGCTCCCGGAGGGTGGGCCCCCAGC